ACAACATCTTAATTACAGATACCATTTTAATATCTAAAAATAAAATGAAATAAAATAAAATTAAAGGTAGCAGAAGAAAAAAAATCTTATATTGATAACCACATAAAACTATTTTCTAACAAAATAATTATATATGTTGCAGTAAGGATGATAAATCAATAATGTAACAACATCTTAATTACAGATACCATTTTAATATCCTAATATTTATAAAAATAAAATCACAATCTTGCTATTATAGTAATGCCTAATCTTAAAACTGTTCATTTAGAGCAACCACAAAGTCAAACACCACCATCGTCACACTTGTCCTGAAATTAAATCATTTTTTATATCTTATTTGGAATTTATGAATATCTGAATTGTTTTATTTTTAACTACATTCAATTCCAAAGTTTCACACTACACACAGACACACAAAAGCTTTTTCTAGTAGTTCTCACTGCTGAAACTTTAAATTTACCAAATCCGCTCAAATTATAACTGCCTTCTCTGATTAAACAGCTTCTGAATATTGGTAACATTTTCTTTGATTTGAAAAATCAGTTCACTCAGTTTTTGTCATTGTGGAATTGTTCCACCCTGGAAAAAACACAAATTTATCTTTAGAAACACAAAATAAGGCATCCATGCCCTCGATGAGAGGATGAAACCTTTGAACGTAACTTTGTGTTTCTATTCAGCCGCACAAACAACAGAAAGAAAACTGAAACTTAAAGAAACCAGTGTGTAAAAAAACGTTTTATTGGACTTTTCAGAGAGCGAGTAGTGAAACACTCAGGAGGTCAAACACTACAAAACGGTGAAAGTCACAAACAAAAAGACATGATTGTCACCAGGTTCCCGACACTCGTGCACGGCGGGTTTGGATTCGGTACAAAAATATCTGCAATAAAAAGGTGACGACTCTGCCTCAGGTCCAGCTCAGGACTCACAGGAGCTTTTCAGTTCAACACAGACACAAATAGGAACAGTTGTGTTTGGAGTAACTTCAACTCCAGTTTGGATTTGAAGCTCAAAGAAAGTAACAGCAGGTGTTTCCATTTCAAGTTTACAAATAATTCTTTAATCATAAGGAATAAAAACAGCACAGGATTGTCACCTGGGTTCAGATTTTCAAAGCCAGTCTTCAGAAGGTAAAACGAGAAGGCACTTGACAGTTTTCCCAGAGTGCACAGCTTCCACCCACGTACAGCGCACCGAGGACCAAGTGTCCAGCGTGAAATGTAGAGGCGAGCAACGGACTGACAGAACAGTATCAATGTGAAAACTAGATCTGAGATGTTCCATAGGGTGGTGAAAGAAACGTCCGCCTCCTGTGCCGACTGTTACAATCTGATGACAGAGAATTAAAACTAAACTAACTCTTAGTTTAACTACACGCGTCCCTAACCTCTCAATTTAGTTGCAAGCATCTCAAATTTTTCTTAGCTTAGTTGCAAGTCTCAAACCTCTCAATTTAATTGTGGGCATCTCAAACTTCTCAGTTTAGTTGCGAGAATCTCAAACCCTTCTCAATTTAGTTGCAAGAGCATCAAACCCTTCTCAATTTAGTTGCAAGAGTCTCAAACCCTTCTCAATTTAGTTGCAAGCATCGCAAACTTTTCTTAGTTTAGTTGCAAGAATCTCAAACCCCTCTCAATTTAGTTGCAAGCATCTCAAATTTTTTTAGTTTAGTTGCGAGAATCTCAAGCCTTTCTCAATTTAGTTGCGAAGGTCTCAAACCCTTCTCTATGTAGTTGCAAGCGTCACAAACCCTTCTCAATTTAGTTGTGGTCATCTTAAAACCTTAATTTAGTTGTAAGCCTCCTAAATCCTTAATTTAGTTGCAGATCTCTTAAACCTCTCAATTTAGTTGCAAGTGTCTCAAATCCTTCTCAATTCAGTTGCGGCCACCTCAAACCCCTCTTTATTTCTGGTAGATTCAACAGTTTTTCCCTGTTGGACTTGAACAGTTCCTCTGTGGCTCAGCGGTAACAGTCCAACACCGGAGGCTCAAACTGGGTTTAATAAAAAGGAAACTGAACTAGACGGAAACAAACTGAATATTTACACCAGAACATTTTACTCGTGAAGAACAGAACCAGACGCACACTTTCTGTACAACATAAAGACGACAGCTTCAAAAATAATTAAAAACAAAAGATAATCTGAAATCAGTGTTGAAGCGGACGTCTCGGCAGGAAATGTGACTGCAAGTAAAGAGTTCAGAGAAGCTGTAACCAGRCGGGTGACGGAGCCACGGGCTTACTTCCTGGTTCTGGGCGCCTCACAGCTCAGTGTCGTTGTATTTCTGAGGGTTGTAGTATCCCTTCCTGGCCTGGTCGGACAGCTGGCGCCGGTACTCCACCTCCCTGTCCTCGTGTCCTCTGGTCTCTGAGTATGGAGGTCTGGGCATCGCCTGCGGCTCGGCGTTGGACCTGACGAAAAACAGTTTAGCTTGAATTCAGATCAAAACTGGTATTATTGCTGGTTTCTCAGATGGACAGAAGAGGCTCTCACCCAATCGGCTGCGGGCGGTTTAGGTTGGGTTTTGGCAGTTTCACTGGGACAGCATAAATGTCTGGATGCTTCTGGGCAATTTCCAACTGAGCAGAAACAGGAATGAACCCAGATATGTCAGAACCGATAGTATTGGAAAACAAAGAAAAAACAAACATCACATGACATTAGACCAACTCAAAGGAGAGAAGTGTTCTGGCAGCTCGAAACATCCACCTTAGCAGAATTTTATATACAAATAAAAACAAAACATTCAGTTCCAATTCCTTCAAAAACATTGTCCACAGAAATTCACTTTAACAAGATGAACCTTTGTTTTTTGTCATTTATCTTTTAGCTAGCACTTTGCTACAAATACCTAGCACTTTGCTACATATACATAGTATTTTGTTATGAATCCAACATTATGCTACGTATCCCTACCACTTTGCTATGTACCAAACATTGCACTACGTATCCCTAGCATTGTGCTATAGCATTTTGCTACATATACCTAGCACCTTGCTACATATATCTAGTATTTTGTTATGAATCCAACGTCGTGCTACGTATTCCTAGCACTTTGCTACATATATCTAGCACTGTGCTACATATACCTAGCACTTTGCTACATATACCTAGCACCTTGCTACATATACCTAGCACCTTGCTACATATACCTAGCACCTTGCTACATATACCTAGTATTTTGTTATGAATCCAACATCGTGCTACGTATTCCTAGCACTTTGCTACATATATCTAGCACTGTGCTACATATACCTAGCACTGTGCTACATATACCTAGCATTTTGTTACATATCCAACATTGCGCTACGTATCCCTAGCACTGTGCTATGCATCCCTAGCACTGTGCTATGCATCCCTAGCACTGTGCTATGCATCCCTAGCACTTTGCTGTGCTACAAATATGAACCTTGCACTTTTCTACAAATTCCTTGGCTTTTAAGACAAATAGTGTTTAGCCACATTTAAGTTTAAGCTAGCATTTTGTTAAGCTGTTAAACATTATGTTTAGCTTTTAGGTACGGTTTTTGCAACTTTAGCATTTTAGCTATGAATTGGGCCTCTTTAATTTTAATATTTTACTGCTTCTACTTCTGTTTTCCTTCTTTTAACTCATGTTCTGCTTCTTTAATCTTTAACATCCAACTCTTATTCAGTAATTCCTTCATTCAGCTCTTAGTGTTTTCAGAGAAAATACTGTTTTTTTCTGTTTTAATGACTTTAAAACTCTCTGGTTGATTCCATTGTACAGTTGTGTAAGCATAAGATCATTTTCTGTGTTTGAGGTCAAATCTAGCTGAAAGCATCCTCTTGCTGAAACATTGCTGTCGTGCACGTTACTGTTGTGCACGTTGCAGGCATGCACGTTACTGACTCGAGCGTTCTCCGCCTCCTGCAGCTCCAGGAGCCTCTGAGCTCGGGCCAGGTGGTCCATCTTCTCAAAGGCTTTAATCTGCGAGAAAATCAGTCGGAGGTAATTAATTAATCCTGGATCTAAAAAATAAAATTCAAAATATGAATAAATTCATAAACAGATGCTGCACAACCAGATGGCACGACTCACAGGGAAGTCAAAAAACAAATGTGAAAAGTGATGAAGATGAAGGTGAGGGTTCCTACATTTTGTTTTAATATGTTTTCAGTTCATTTTTCAGGTAAACGAGAATAAACATTTACTCTTTAATAAAATTGTTTAAAAGAAGTCAGATTAATTCCAGCTCAGAAATAAAACTTAAGCTGCATTTTTCAATAAATTTCAAGCGTTTTTTAAATAACATAAAGACTCAGTACTGAGTGTTCAGCTATAGCAAACATCTGTGGAAGGCTTGAAACAGACAGTTACCTGATTAACCGCCCGCTATTTCATAAAGAGAAAGCAAGGAAAGGAAGAGAAGCAAAACAAATAATTTACTAAGTAAAGAACAGAAACAACAGATCAGAGGAAGGAGGAGGAAAAGACAATCTGTTGATCTTTGAACAGACCTTTCCCAGGAAGGATTTGTTGGCGGGGTCCTCCTCCTCCCCCTGCTCTTTCTTTGTGCTCTGATCCTCTGACGGCTGGTTGGGACGGGCCACGGTGGGCTTCAGGGCCACGGGCGGGGGACCCGGTCTGTTTACGATCGCGGCGTCGCTGCTGATGGTGCTGCTGGAGTGAGACTCGTAGCTCCGCGTCGAGTCGGAGCGAGTCTGGGACCGGACCTGAAACAGGAACAGACTAAAAATGTCAGGCGAGATTTAATGAGAAGGATCTGTTGGGCTAGCCTCTGTGCTACTTTTAGCTAACACTTGTGCTACGTTGAGCTAGCCTCTGTGCTACTTTCAGATAAACCTTGAGCTAGCGTTCGTGCTACTTTGAGCTAACCTTCATACTGTTTAAAGCTAGCCTCTGTGCTACTTTGAGCTAGCCTCTGTGCTACTTTGAGCTAGCCTCTGTGCTACTTTGAGCTAGCCTCTGTGCTACTTTGAGCTAGCGTCTGTGCTACTTTGAGCTAGCGTCTGTGCTACTTTGAGCTAGTCTTAGCTACCTCTTGTGTTACTTAGAGCCAGCCCTCGTGCTACTTTGAGCCAGCCCTCGTGCTACTTTGAGCCAGCCTTCGTGCTTCTTTGAGCTAGCCTCTGTGCTACTTTGAGCTAGCCTCTGTGCTACTTTGAGCTAGCCTCTGTGCTACTTTGAGCTAGCCTCTGTGCTACTTTCAGATAAACCTTGAGTTAGCGTTCGTGCTACTTTGAGCCAAATTTCTTACTATTTTAAGCTAGCTGCTGTGCTACTTTGAGCCAACCTTTGTGTAGAACTACTTTGAGCTAGCCTTAGAGCTACCCCTTGTGTTACCTAGAGCTAGCCTCTGTGCTACTTTGAGCTAACTTTTGTGCAGAACTACTTTGAGCTAGCCTTAGCTACTCCTTGTGTTACTTAGAGCTAGCCTTCGACTTTGTGTTACTTTGAGCTAGCCTTCATGCTACTTTGAGCTAGCCTTTGTGCTACCCTTTGTGGCACCCTTTTCCCACTAACGACCTTTTTGCCATTTTTAGTAAGTAGCTTTGATTTAAGTTTTATGTTTATCTTTCTTTATCTCTTTGTGTGTTTTATTTAAGGTAAAGTAAAGGTACTTTATTAGTCATCAGTGTATGTTCCCATACCATGACAAGATTTGTGTTCTGCAGGTGACCCACCACACGTGAGAAACACCCAAGTGGAGCAGTGGGCAGCTATGTAGGCGCCCTGGGAGTTGGGTGTGTTGGCTCAAGGACACCATGGCACATGGGCATGGCAGGGAGTCAAACCTGTGACGCTCTGGTCCAAAGCTGGCTGCTCTAACACTACACCATAGCCTTTAGCTTTCGCTAACCTTGTGCTAATTTTAGATTTCAGCAAGTGATCCATTCCTTTTATCTTTGTTGTGACATTTCACTGCAGATGGTCAAACTTTATTAGAAACACAACAGAACTTGGACCCAACAAACACATTTTAGTTATAAAATTTTAAACGTATTTTATGTTTTCTGTTATAAAACAGAGTTTCTGTCGTGTTGGTCGGTAAAACCTGAGACAGATGGAGGCTGAGGGGAGCAGAGGGAGGTTCTCACCTTCGGGGGTTCAGGGACAAAAGAAGGAGGAGGGCTGGGATCTCTGCTGAGCATCTCTCTACTTCCTGCTCTCTTCATACGTGGGGGAACGGGGTGGGGCCTCTACACAGACGCAGGGTTATGACATCACACGGTTAGAACATGAAGGTTGGTTAAAAACGACATGTCTCCTCTGGGCCGACGCCTCACCTCGTCCGGCAGCACGGGCTCCGACGACCGGCTGATGGCCGACACGGGCTGCGGCTCGTCCATGGGCTCGTCCAGCTCGTTGTCGGTGTAAGCTCCGCCCTCGTCCGCCGTGTCGTCGTAGTCGCTGGTCAGGCGGCTGTCCATGCTGAGGTAGTCAGCGCTCATGGCCGACAGGTAGGACATGCGGTCGTCGTGGAGGTCCAGGTCCTCCTCTGAACCGTCCATCTGGAGAACGAGGAGCGAAACGTGACGGCAAAAAATGACGATGGCACACAATCAGCGGGGCGGATCAGACGACTCACCTTGGCCTCAGAAACCCAGACCGCTCGGTCCTGCTGCTCCCGGATCGAGTCTTTCACGCTGCCGTACCACGCGTCGTTCGCAGAGTTCAGATCGATCGTTGCTGAAATAAATGAGAACTGATCAGAAAAATCCTCCCGACGGAGCGGGTGGGAGGAGGGTGGGAGAGCCGCTCACCTGTGAACAGGTGAGAGCAGGTCTTCTTCAGCCTGACGGACTGCTCGTAGAGTTTCCTGGCGCTGCGGTTGGACCCGGGCATGAGGCGGTTCCTCATGGTCTTCACGCCCTGTTTGCTGTCCGGGTTCAGGAAGATGACGATGGGGTACCACTGCGTGTAGTTCAACGTGTCCACGGCTTTGGGAGTGACGTCCAGCAGAGCGTGACGGTCCTGGAAACACAGGGGGCGGAGCTTAAACGTCAGGCACCTCATGCTTACAGAGGAACTGAGGAACAAACACCAGCCGAAATTTATTTGAGCTAAAACTGAACTGCTAAAGTTAAAACCAGCAAAATGAATATCATAAAGATGCTCAAAACACAAGCTGAAATGAGCCAAACATAAGCTAAAGTAAAGAAGCTAAAAATTAAAACCAATAGAATAGTAGCTAGAAGCTAAAAATAAGCAAAACAGCAGCTAAAAGCAAAAGACAATATTTAGACAAAAAAATACATAAAACTGAAAAACAGATGCTAAAACTCAATTTGGCAAAACGGTAGCTAAAACTAAAGAAAAGCAGTAAACACTAAAGTTACCAAATAACAAAAATAGCCAAAAGTGGCAAAATATGATATTAGCAAAACAAAAGTTGTTTAACAAAAGATGCTCAAAAGATGATCAAAACAGTTTCTAAAGCTAAAATTAGCACATTTGTAGAAAACAGTAAATTAGCTAAAAGAACAAAAGCTAAATTTAGCTAAAAAATATGCTAATGTTACAATTAAGAACACATAATAAAATAGCCAAACAGCAGCAAAAGCTGAAATAAGCTAAATGGACACTAAAAGTAACAAAACAGCCACTAAAAATACTAGAGTTGTAGCTAAAACGCAAGCTAAAAGCAGCGGAGCTGTATCTAAAAGCAGCAGAGCTGTATCTAAAAGCAGCAGAACAGTAGCTAAAAGCAGCAGAGCTGTAGCTAAAAGCAGCAGAGCTGTATCTAAAAGCAGCAGAACAGTAGCTAAAAGCAGCAGAGCTGTAGCTATAAGCAGCAGAGCTGTATCTAAAAGCAGCAGAG